CATATATATATCCATTGAATCTCCTTTTTATTACAAAAATCATAAGAGTCAATACAATATCTAAGAGTTTTACTATATTTCTACCATTTTATTAATGCAACATCAACCCAATTATCAGGGGTTATATTACATTAAAAAGTGGTATCTCGGGTGTACAGACATATCAAAGCATTTGCAACTTAAATAATTGAGTTGTATTCTAAATGTGCCTCACAGCAAGCTATTTCTTTAATGCTTCCTGTGGTAATTAGGGAAGCAGGGAGTAATGGGGAGGTAGGGAGGTAGGGGGAAGGCAGAGCAGAGAAGAAAGGGAGGAAAGAAGGTGACCTCTATCTTACTCTAATCTCCATATTGTAAAGAATAGTATAATGCTGAAGTTAATAGGCAGCATAGGAGATTATTTCCCAATTCCAGATAATTCCTAGAAAGTATTTTTAATGTAATGATTTGTATCAACTAATCCTTTCTTTTCCAGTGGCTATCAAGCTGTCCTTTAAGGACAAATGCAACAATTCAGGGATTCACTGAGTGATATTCACGTCTTGCAGCAATAGGAATATGGGTAGTTGCAGGCCATACGCAGTTGACTCTGGTGTAGCTAGACTTCTGCCTCATTTTTACAAGTGATCTTAGCAAATTAGCAGATATTACCACCTTGGTTGAAAAGCGCATTTTCTCTGGCTTTATAAATTTTACACCATCTACTCATTTAAAAGAGGAAAGAAAACCCTCATGGTTAGTATTTAATTTACCTCTCCCCACTCATATGAGCCAATATTGCCCAGAGTTGTTCCTCCCCATGCACAGAAAACTATAGTGCGGTCCGGCCTCCATCCCCTCTTAACTCTTAACATCAAAGCTCGGATGAAAGCTGTGATTATTGCCGTACTGCTGGCCCATTCTTGTCCATTATAACTGTATATAGCATGATGGTGGCTGCCAACTATAATATACCGGTCTGGAAACAGAAGGAAACAAGAGTCATTAAAACAAAATGTAAATCTTAACAATACATTTAATGACATTTACATAATCCTATTGCGTAGGTAAGCATCAATTAAGCAAAATTGTTCTAATAATTAAGACTGCTTTAACATTTTTCACCCACTGCCTTGGTTCACACATCTGTGTATATCAAAGCAGAAGCAGCTGCTAAAACCAATTATGAATCCAAAGCTTAGATCCATATTACTGTCCTTGCAACATGAATATTAATTAACGAAGTATACAAATATGCCACATTGAAACCCTTATCTCACAGTTTTCCAGAATCATAGTGGGAAGCGCCCTGTAAGCAACGTGAGTATGCTCAGTAAATATTAATGAGCTATTAATACATTTAAGGAAGCAGTGGGTCAGTAGCTGCAAATATTAAAAATGGGGTAGTCATGTACAGATTTTGTAATAAATGGAGTGTTCAGGGAATTAATTACAGCTCCCAATTTATAGTTTTATTCCTTTTCCAGTCTTTGAAAAAGAGAAGTTAAATTAGCCAACATCAAAAATTCATTCAATCACTTCAAAATTTGCCTTTTCAAATATTTTATTTTCATGTACTCATCTAAAATTCATTAGATACACTACAAGAAATGTTTTTATAATACATGGATATGGGCTATTTACTGTATATTAGCAACTATTGTCAGCAATAAGGAAGCTAAAAATGTACCTCCAGTATTTCCTCTGATTATGTCGGTCAGTGATATTGACAGTGACAAAAGAGCACTATACATGTACATAAAAAGTTTCTTTGTTGTCATTGCATTATAAAATGCTCCATAACTTGATGGCAAAATTTGCAGACTCTGACACCATCCTATTAGCACTGGGATCTGGGCTTTACAATTTACTGGTTATATTACCATGGAAAGATTATTTCAACTCTATGACTTTGTTTCTTCAACTCTATTATGGGAATATAAAAGACACAAATATTCAATTGTTCTGTGTTTTCTGTGAGTTACTGTTTGTAAGGTACTTTGGACACTGCCTGGCACAAAGTAGGTTCTACACTATATGATTTATGTGGAACATGAATCAGACCTTGACTTCATGACATCAAAAAGCTGCCATGAGAAATGTCATAGGGTAAAGCTGTTTTAGCTTTCCACATTGATTTAAGAACCTTCAGTGGATCTGATCTGTCACTATTTTATTAAAGTTTAATTATTTGTTTACTCAAAGGATCTAGAAAGGTTGAAAGCTTGGGAATTCATTCATACATCTTTCAGAAATACCAGAAAGATCTATTTCAGATTCCCCTTTTTCTAAATAAATCACACTCAGCAAACACTATTGATGGTTTTTATTAATTTTCAGTCGTTAAATTTATAAAAATCATGTGAATAAACAACTGGTGTTTTATGCAGAATTCAAGAAAAAATTGAGAAGGCTTGCATATTATAGATGAAAGGATACTAATGGTAAAACTGATTTTTAAAATTCTTTTGATACATTGAAGTTTCTTTACTCTAAAACTAGTATGGTGTATGATTGGATTTTACAGTAATGACTTGCAAATGAAGAAATGATGATAAGTATTCAAGTGACTCAGAGATTCTTACAGAGGAAATTTTTCAAAATGGTTGAAATACAATGGCAAACATTTTAAATTCATTTGTATCTTGTATTTGAAGAAAAAATGATCCTATGATCTGAAGTTTTTCCATATTTCTACTATAAGGACATCAGAAAGAAAACGTTTTTCATGAATTTTCTTAGTTGGCTGTCAAAAAATGGGGAGGATATAAAACTTGACTTCAAAATTAGGTCAATTTGACTAATGTGTTGAAAAGAATAATTTTCCAAGAAGAACTTGAGTAAATGTCTCAACTACATTAACAGAAATGGCACAAGTGTAGTAAAACAACTTTTCACTCTACACTGTGTAAAAGTGATTTGTGATTCGGTCTTACCATGTATATGGAGGTGTTGATATTAGTCTCTTAATTAACATTTGCATCAGTTATTTTTTTACCTTTTTTGGCCTCTGTAATATAATCTGAAAAATCCATTAGGAGGTTTAAAAGGTATAAAACTATTTAAAATCTAGCCAGTGGATTATTTTATAAGCACTGTGAGAACTGTCAGTAGAGCAAGGTTCAGGAATAGGACATTAATATTGAAAAATTATACTGGGAGACAAAAAATTTTATTTAAAAAAGCCACATTATTAAAAATAAAATCTTTTCTCTTTAAATTAACTTTCTTGTCTACATCCCCATTAACTGTAGAAGAATTCCTTTTTCCTGCAGCCTCAACAGCATTTTTAACTACTGTATTTGATTTCTTGATGATGGACATTCTTCCTGGAGTAAGATGGAATTTCAGTGTTGTTTTATTATGCATTCCAGTGATAGCCAGGGATGGTGAACATGTTTTTCACATATGTATTAACCATTTGTACTTCTTCTGAGAAGTGTCCTATTCTTTTTAGTTGTCCGTTTTTGATTGGCTCTTTTATTTGGGATGTCTAATTTTTTTTGAGTTCTTTATATATTCTAGATCTTAGTTCTATTCGTCTTCTTTCCAGTGAATAGTTGGTAATTTTTTCCCATTTTGATAAAAATTCCATTGGTGCTACAGTGAGTAAAAGAAATGAGGCCTTTTTAAAACATTTAAAAAATTTTTTAGGCATTTTCACATGTCCTTCTTAGTAGTTATTACTTTCATAATGGGAGGTAGACAAAGGAGGAATTTCATCTGCCCTAGGCAGAGTTTTGCATTCTTTTTTTCCCCATTAAGTTTTCTGGTACATTTAAAGCAAACCATACAGTTCCATTCATCACTGGGATCTTGTACCTTTACATGCATGACAGGTCTTGGTTTTTGTTTATTCCTCGTACTCCTGCCCTCCCATTCCAGCTTAATAAACCTAAACTGTCTTTTGTCTCATTGCCCAACACACATTCTCCATTAAAATTTGTTTTTGTACAGATGACACTAGGAAAGAGAATAAAAATGTACTTTCTTAGTTTTATATTGGTCCACTCTTGGTATAGCATAATCATTTGTTATACCCAAAATAAAATATTTGTCTATGTTATTCAATTAATACAGAATATCTGTTAGTCAAGTCTGATATAAAACACAGATTATAAATATCCAACCCTACTCACCTGGAGATGCCAAGCCCTTTACATATCCAACCACATTTGTAACTGTTTGAAATTTTGTAACTGTCTGAATTTTCATGCTGACAATTCTTATTTCTGAAAAAAAAGATGTTTATTTACTATATTTTTTCCTTAAAACATTAAAATCTATTTTTCTAATATCATCAGCAGAAGAATTCCATACAACTCAATTTTTCTCATGTTGCCAGTTGTTTTTTTGCTAAATATTTATTCAATATTTTGTGCATATCTATTTCAGGTATCTTTATACAGTTATACTAAGACACGATCCCCAGCCTCACATAACTTCAGAGCTATAAAGAGACAATTGTAAGTCCTGCATTCAGTGTTACAACTGGGATAAATATTTGAGAGCACACAGATGACATCCAGGAGAGGGAGGCAATTCATACTTTTCAAAGGATAGATAAAACCATTTCCAGAGAGCACTGAATATTTCATATTTAAGAAAAAGAACACATGAAAGAAAATGTAACATTTCCTGTATGACTCATTTTTATTAAAAACTAAGTATTACACAAATTAAAACAACAAAAATTTTTATTTCTATTTTCATAATTTGGATCTTTATTTCTACATGATTAGATGTTCACCTCTGTTATGAATCTCCATTAACTGCTGTGGTTCTTTAAATTCTTTTATTTATGCTTGACATTCAATACATTTGCAAATAAGATGAAAACCCCAGTCAACAGAGATTCCAGTCATAGCCCTGGTGTGATGTTTGAAGACCCTGGGAGGTGAACCTGTGCTTGATGAGTCCTGGGAAGTCTGGAATAGAGTGGGCATTTCTGGGTCAGACTGCATTGTTCAGGCAAAGTGTGGCAATCAGAGCCAGTGCTAATATCCACGTATACCAGCAAGCCTCTCGTCACCTCTTCCTGCTAGATGAAAATTATCATAAATGCATTCTTCTTCTTTCTTCTTGAAGTGTTACAATTTAAATTCACACCAACAGTTTAACTGGAAAATCAATATGCTGTCTCTGTGCCTTTACTTCAGATGGTATGCAATTTGTTTTCAAATTAACAGACTTTGTTTTCTTGAGTAGTTTCAGTTTATAGAAAAAAATAGCCAAAATTATAATGGTTTAAGATATTCATCTCTCTCTTCTGCCTCATATTATTAACATCTCGCAATAATGTAGAACTTTTGTTGTGATGAATGGGTCATTATTAATACATTATTTATTTTTCAGCCTGGCTATTGAATTTCATTGTAACCAATGCCATACTGTTTTAATTAATGTAGCTTTAGGATACCTGAAGTGGTGTCTCTTCTATAATTATTATCATCACTATGGTCATGTTTTAATTATTGTTCAATTTGGGACATATTTATGGCCAGTATTTTAATATGAACTTTAATAATAACATTTTGTGTATCTTAAAAAGGTGTTTCAAGATTTCATTAGGATCACATGATATTAATAAACCTGATAACATTATATAAACTCAGTATGATATCCCTCTCAATTTATTTTAGTTCCTTTTATATCTTTCATTATATTTTTATGATTTTCTCCATTAAAATTTTTACAACTATTATTAATTTGCTTTATGGTTTTCTAGCTATTTGAACAAAAATTTTTATGCCTATTTAAATTGCATATAAGAATACTATAGAATGCATATTTTGGTCTTATAATGAGTCTTCTGGTTAATATTCTATATATTCTAGAGTTGACATTTAACATTATCATTTCTGTTAGTGTTCAATGTAGGTAATTCCTTACTGCCGACAAATAGTTGTATTTATTACTTTGGAATCATTTTTGATTGTTTCATTTTGTCTACTACCACCAGGGCAGTGATTTGGAGGCAGCGATAGCAACATTTCATTCTCCTTATCCTTTGTACTTGACTTTTAAAATAATGTTTCAAAGATTTTATCTTTAAAAATATTTACTTTAGATTTCTGGGAAATTCCTTTTAACAAAGTAAGAAAATTACTTCTTACTTTGCTAAGAGATTTTACCATAAATAGATGTTTAATCATCTATCAAGATAATTGTAAAGCTTCTTGCTTTACAATGTTTATAAATGCATGCATTTCTGGAATAAGCTCTAATTGATCACAACCCTTTTTCTTTACTTGATGACTAATATTTTTTAGGATATTTGTATATATAGCAATAAATGATTAGTTGATAATTTTATTTCTCATTTGTTTTTATGTAGCTTTGACATCTAGATTATATAATCTCACTAATGTTCTAGGAAGCTTTTGTTTCTTTCCTAGATTCTGTAACAGTTTATGTACCATAAGTAGTATGTGTTTTGCAAAAAAGGGTTAGGGTTCACATACAAATATTTTTTCTTTATTTTCCCTATTATATATTTTACCTGAGTGTACAATGCTATTCTTTACTTAAATTCTTAATTTAAATTCTTTATTACTTGCCTATAAATAAATGTGTATGTCTGCTTTCATATGCAGTCCACCAAAAAATGTATTTATCAGGAAAAGAAAAAAACTTGTATAAATATTTTAATACTAAATTTATTGAGACATAGTGTGATTAATTCCAGTTAGTAAATTATAACACCTAGTACAATGCTATTCTTTACTTAAATTCTTAATTTAAATTCTTTATTACTTGCCTATAAATAAATGTGTATGTCTGCTTTCATATGCAGTCCACCAAAAAATGTATTTATCAGGAAAAGAAAAAAACTTGTATAAATATTTTAATACTAAATTTATTGAGACATAGTGTGATTAATTCCAGTTAGTAAATTATAACACCTATACATGAAGAATGGATCTGCAAAATAGAAAATGGTATATGTTCTAATGATTTTTATCAAACATATAAACGACAAACTTTAGTTGAAGTTTTTGTACTTTATAAGGAGTGACAGGTACTTGAAAATTTGAGATAACTATGTAAGAGACTATAAAAATTGCTCAGAAATATCAAAAAAATTGAAAATACTTGTTAAAATGTTTTTACTTAGAAGTGTATATCTCAGGTTGCCTTTTGGTATTTTAGCAAACAAAGAAATAAAAACCCTAGACTAAATCTAAACTAAGTCACCAAAATCATTGAAAGAGAAAGCCAGAGACTTGAGAAGTTCTGGGTGAATGACAGTTCTGTCACCCTCAGTGAGCCCAACCTGCTCTCCCCAGGAAACAAAGGAGGGACTCTACTTTCTGTGCACTTTGGACAATAGGTTCCCCACCTGTGCTCGTTCTGTTTAAGATCCTTGATGAATAGTCCTTCAAAGCAAATTCTGAAGCTTTGCTTTTCTTTTATCCTTTTGTCTGAGGACTTCAGACTGGCAGCTCATGAATGCTGATCTTTACCTCTACAGATTACTCTGTTATGAGCTTCTAGTTCAAACTCCGTGGTCCACCATGTAATTGGCCGCTTGAAGAGCCAGGAGATTGGGTGCTACCATTGCGGAGCTCAGTGAATCCCAACATCTAGTTCACATTTATCACCACAGATAGCAGTGTTTCTGAGAGTGATCCAGGACACTGAACTTTTTTTCTCAGTAGCCACATGTGTGTTGTATAGAAAGCATCTGCCCAAATCAAAATTAGTACCAATTTCTTGATATTTTCCTCCTTGTTGAAAGCTGGAAGTTCTTAAAGCCTATGGTTTGGTTTGGTTAAACGTCTCCCAAGGGCCCATGTATTTAAGCTTGCTTGCCAGCCTGTGGCACTTCTGGGGTTGGTGGAACGTTAGGAGGTGGAGTTTAGTGGAGGGAATTTAGGTTTCTATGAAGACACACGCCTTGAAGGAGATACTGAGACTCTATATATCCTCTTTGTTTCTTGGTAGCCACATGAGGAAAAGCGCTTCCTCTCCCACACACTCTCTGCCATGATGCTGCTTTGATACAGACCCAGAGGCAACAGGATCAAGAGACTATTGGCCAAAACCCCCAAAACACTGGGGCAGAATAAATTCTTCATCTTTAAAGGTTGTGTAGCTCACGCATTTTTGTTACAGTTACAGAAACCTAGCATATCAGCTCCGTCTGAAAACAAGTTTGCAGTTCTATCTTTTCAGGCCTATATTTTTTCCCTCTGTACATAGCGTAAAAGGTTACTCACTTTTTTTATATTGGAAAGCAGGCCACATCATATCAAATTCACACCACTGTCTATTGAGATAAAGACAGATACATACATACATTGATACCAGCCAGATAGATACAAAGATAGACTGATGGATAAATAGAAATAGAAAATCTCAAGAGATGCTTTAAATAAAATAGCACAATATGCTTCTGTATATTATGTGTATTTCTCAGAAGTAGCAATTTGGGGGCTACCCTGAACACATTAATTTGTTTTATATGTAACAAAATAATGCCAGTTAACTATTATTTATTGTTATTGGATTTGAAAAGATAAAGTGAACTGTCAATAAATTTGTGCATAATAATTTGTAACAGTAATATGCTCAATACATGTTTTTAAATTTCTATTCAAGAAATGCTAATAATGAATTCTTCAGTAGCTACTAACAAATTAAAAAGATATTTGAAGTAGGATATATAAACATTATAAATGATTGTCAGTTAGATATATTATTCTGATAGAACTGATTTTCAACAAAGGAGATATCAAATTGTCAATAAGGATTTTATATATATATATATATATATATATATATGCATATATATATCCATTTTAAGAAATATGCTTCCACCTTATGTAAAATTTGTAAACATTGCTAAGTTTCATACAACATAGAAACAGTCACCTTTTTTTTCAAAATAGTGGATACATCAAATTTATCCTAATGCTTCTTTTTAACTTGACTCATTTATATGTTTTTCTGCCTAGATTATATAAATCTATTTTACAACTTTTGATCTCACTGCTTTACTATGTTTATGGATTTTAACCACAAGGACAGATTGATTTTGATGATTGAGATTTCCATGTTCTAATTGAATCTCAAGGACAAAGATTGACAATATATTAGATCAATTGATATAATCTACAGAGGAAGACCCAGGGAAATGAAATGCATTTGGCATCCAATGGTCTAATCAATGAAAATGATCCACGTTTATTAAGGAAAATAAAGTTTCTCCTAATTCTTTTTTCATTCTTTATACAACTGTCTTAGTTCTCTCAGAGATCTCTATACAAGTTTATTGCTCCCTGTGTCACTTCACTGTGCCTGTTTCATGAATGCAGACATCTAATTATTGTTTAGTAAAAGTATAAATTTGATAAAACAAAAAAGAGGTATTAACTCTCTCTCTCTCACACACACACACACACACACACACACACAAACAGTTCAATGGATTTGGTTCCAGAGAAGCTTTCTTTTAGCTCCCAAATGATACATTGCTTCCCTTCTCTCTCTCTGTCTGTCTCTCTCTTGCTCTCTCTCTCCCTCCCTCTTTCATTCTGAATTAGCTCCATATCTGTTTTTAAGTAGGAAACATTCTCATGTCCCAGTGGGGCTACCAAAATTCCAGAGCTGCACGCTTTCTTTGTCTAGTCTTAAAATGAGTAACTGATCAAAGTTAAAAATTATTCAGACTTAATCATCCTTCGATTGTGACAATATGTATGGTAAATGTGATTTGCCAATGGGCTTTAGCCAATCAGGATCTGTTTCTGGAGTTTGATCAAATCTACTCATATTGTTTGAAAATGTGGCAAAAAAGAGAGTAAGAAATCAGATATTGGTAAACCACATATAGTAAAGAAATTCTACTATAGTGTTGTCTTGATTTTAGAAAATTATGACTTACTATATAAAAATAGTTAAATGGTAACACAAATAGTTGATTTGCACATGTATTTTTAATGTACTTCTCTCCAAACTTGATTAGTGAAGAATTTCCTACATCAAAATCAAGAATACACTTAGAAAATTCAACAATAAGACATAATTATAATGTTCTAAAATACTTTCAATCCATAAAGAACAAGCATTACTCTTATTGCTTGAAAGAACAGCTCTTCATTTAGCATTATTTTCATTTTCCATTGTGATATATATCATAATGAACAATGAATTCACTGTATGGGTGTTTATCAGAAAACATAAGTTAATTATATTGGATGAATCATGAGCATTATTTTCCAAAACATTGGGGTAAAAGGCCATTATTCTATGTGTACTATTTTGTTTGGGAAATCTAAATGTAATACCTGTTGTTTCAACAAATGAAGTTCTCATTATAACATGAAATGTTTTCTTAGTGATTTAATATATCTGTCTGAATTTTTCTAAATAATAATAATAATGATGTCCACGATGAAAACTTGATATGGCTTAATTCTTTAGAAGGCAGACCTATCTTGTTGTGTCTTTAAAAATGGAGCTATAAACAGGTTTCAGCATATATCGCAGTTTTCCTTTTGAGTTTCACATGTGTTTATTTGTTATGGATATATAGATATACAGAATCACTTTGTTTTGCTAAGACATTATTGGCAAAGGAAATTGTTATAGTTACTTGATATGGAAGCAACTTTCTAATTCATTTCACATTTCACAGTATATAAAAGTATTGGGACCTATACTTTGATTCTCACAGCAAAATGAGATGATAGGAAGTTTGCTACTCTTTTTGTCAATGTAAATATAATGACTTTTTGGTCAAAGGTGATAGATAAGCAGCTATAGTGCTGGCGCATGGGAACAAATCAAGTACCTGGGGTCAGGATGGCGGCTCAAATGCATTAGGAGCTCTAAGATGTACTGATTATATTAATGAAATACAAGCCTAAATCTACTTCTTTACAAGCCCTTCACTTTTGTTATAACTAACATATTTTATTGATGTAGCACACATGTTTAGCAAATAGAACTCATGATTAATTGCTGTGGCTCAGAAGAGATGACAGAACGACACAAAGCAAAATGAAAAGCTCTTTCCTCTGAGACACTGGCATATTACCATTTTTATTCTGGCTGTTCTGCTCAGTTGGTAATGAGTTTAGGAGGGGCTCAATATACAGGATGTTGAAAAGTGAACGTCTATTAACGGAGAGCCATACTGAATGCATTCAGACTTTTTAAAAACACTTCTTCAAAAACATTTTAATGCTTTGTTGTCAAAAGAAAAACAGATGAGATAAAATGCAGTTGGTTGAGCCCCCAGATCTGGACACAAAAAAATAAAGCCCTTAAGTGGTAGTTCACAGCAATGAGAGACAAATTCAACTATATGTAAAGAGAGTCTCCACTTTAGAATTCTAATGCTGAAGCTGGAGGCAGGAATAAGATGCAGCCCATGGCTTTTATTCCCACCACAGGAGCTTAACTCTTTCAGTTTTATGCAGCACGGTCCAACAAGGCCTGACAAACTGCACCGCCATAGAAGAAGCCTCTCTCAGGCCATATATAGACAGAGCGATTTTTTTAGTCAATTGAAGGAATTAGGCTTTAATGTTTTATACTAAAAGGCTTCATACCCTAGAAAGCTGCCTGCTAGCCACTGAATCTTGGCAGGCAATAAGACCACTGAAACTGGGAAGCTATGTTAAGCAGATTTTTGTGCATGTACAAAATACTTTGTAGAGCGACTTTTCTTTTTTTCAGTTCAAACTACTTCCTTTCTTTCTTTTTTAAACCCTTAGCTTAGTCAACTCTCAATCTTTATCAAAAACACTTTGCAAAAATGTCCCTACTGTGTAAAACAAACAGTATAGACACTGCCCTCCCCCAAAGTCAATCTTTCTGAAAAGAATAATCCTAAACATGTCAATTTAAGGGATTTAAAAAAAATGATCACAATTCTTACAAAAACTGCAAGACTCACAGAAGAACATTACACACTTTACCATTATGTGGAAGTTCCAAAGGACTGCAGATATCACTTTTGGTTCCAGCGGTAGGTAAAGAGATTAGTTTTGCAACAAGGGATGCTGAGATGGGCTGCACTAACAGAGAGGTGAGGTTTGATCGGTTTTGTCTGAAGCTTCCATCTGTATGCAAAAGAGAAAGGAAGAGAATGCTTAGTAAACATAATTTATAAACAAAGAGAGGTTCTTTGTAATAAGTATTTAGATTATTAGCTGTGCTTATATTTGTTCATTTATTTACTCTTTAGTTATATGTTGCCTGCTAATTAAAGGTTGCTAAAAACGACATTTACTTCCACTTCTCCATAAAACACTATAAGGACAACAAAGGGATACAGCAGCTTAGGGGTCATATGATTTCAGAAGTTAGAAAGTACATGAATAAGTGTCAGCTACCACAACAGGCATGAAGAGGCCAAAATCTAACCTGTAGCAAGGAAGCTGAGAAGCAACACAGTTTGTGCCACAGAACACAGAAAGGCCTGGGAACTGGCAAGGCCAGCTGTCTCTTTAGAAGGGTGAAGGAGGAGCTGGATGTAGGAGAACGTGATGAAACCCTAATTGTGAACCCAGTCACTGTGAGTGCCTGTTCTTCCTCCCCTCGAGTAGAAAACAATGAGGTACAGGATAGTGAAACATCAGATACAATGAAGTATATTATGCTTAGACCAGGCTGGTGTTACTGCTGAGACTTGACAGATATTTTATACTTTTGGCACCTGATTCCTTCCCTCCAGGTGAAGTGCAGTAGAACATACATTAGTAGTAAGCACGACCAGGTCGACAGAAGATATCTGAAAATTCTGAAAATCAAGAGCTGTACCCACAAAACAACTTACCCAAGACAACCTATGTTGAAACTCACTATTTAAAAAATCCCACCCATGAGCAAAGCCTCAGTTTAATTCTGCCTTTGTGGGAACTGCTCAGTGAGGACGGGAGGAAGAGCCAAGAGACTGAGAAGGAGAGTCTCCAAGAGGGTGAAATTAACAGGACTACAGATGTCTGCCAAGATAACAAGAGAGTATTTGCAGTGTGATCCGGGGGAGGATTTGAATGCTTCCTAGAAATATATAGAAAAATAAGAACTCTACAATGTGAGAACACAATTAGCTTTAAGGGGACCAAAATTCGTAAAGAGAGAAATCTAATGACACAATGTGAATAACATTTAAATAATGATAAGAATTAAAAAGACCATTCTCAAGCAAACAAAACAGTTGATTCTTTTCAGGGGGAAAAAAAAAAGGAGAAATGGGCAAAAAGCCAAGAGTGAGGTGTGTGCAGACTTGTGACAGGCAAATCTATATCTATCAGGCTGGTGAGTCAATATAAAGGATAAACCTGAAAGATGGTGAATACAGCCAGGCATGTTCTGGATAGAGGAGAGAGAGCTAAATATAAAAATAAGTGACAGCTAAACATGTTAAAAAATAATCAAACATTTGCCTTATGAGAGATAATGAGAAGGGAGAGAAGGCATGAAAAAGGGTGGGAGGGTGACACTTCTATTAATTAGGCCTCATATCAGCGTTAACTAATTACAAACCGTATTCATCTATAACTTTGAAAAAGTAAACATTAAACATAAATAAGCAGAGAAAACAATTGTGATGATACAAGTTCAAGAAAAACACAGCAATACTCAGAGCAAAGAGGATAGAGAAAATACACCAAATTGTCCTTGAAGAAACAAGGAAAAAAAAATACTTAGCTTCAATATTTTTACCGACTTAGAAAAGGAAATACAAAATGAATGTCTATCAGGCAGCCAATAGTGCTTCAACCACAGTGTTATATTCTTCAGAACTTTTATTAGGGAAATAATTGCTAAAGGTTTTCTCAGAATTTAATCTGATGGGACTGCAGGGGTGCAGAGTGTAATGATACTGGTGGTGAGGTTCCAGGAGGCACTGTGGAAATGAGAAAATATCTCTGAACGGCATTTCCTTAATTTATCATCTGGAAAACCACAAGGCTAAAAGGATATTTAGCTCAGGCCTGTGGCAGCTGTGGAAGTCACGGTTTTGAAGAAAACAATAACAAAGATTTAAGCTCAGAATCCGTTTTGTTATATGAGCACAGCGCTGGTCTCATAATTTAGTAAGTCCTGTACACGGATCCATGGCAGTGTTTTGACCACAGTGTAGTTCACTGCTCCCCAACCATTTTCATGTCACACTATTATGACTGGCTGTATAATTTGCAGGGCCCAGAGCAAAATGACAGCATGGGATTGCTTGTTCAAAAAGTATGAAGAATTTCAATATGGCAATAGCAGAGCATTAAATCAAGTGTGGGGCCTTGGTGAGAAGGAGCTCAGCGAAACTGCACAGGTCATGCATGTGAACCAGGACCCACACAGTCCACATAAAAGAGACTCATAGTCATGTGACCTGCTGAGACGGACCGAAAGGAGGGTGCAGACCTCAAGGAAGCTCTCGGCCACACCTTGGGCCAATGCGACTCGTACTTCTAGGCATAGACAGTGCCTGGCACACTAAACCATCTCTCTCTGGTCCTCTCAGCATGTCCTGTCCCTTTTAGCCACTGCCTTGGCACTTGTACTGTGCATGGGACAACAAAACAGTATTTATGTGCCACCCGTTGTTTTTATGGATGTTTCCAATACAAAATGAAACATATTGAGAAGTTTTCATGAGCACTGGGTACTGGCATATCTCTAATACAAAACGAAACGGCTTGAGGAACTGCATGATGTCACCTCTCTCCATTTCAAACTTAACATTTCCAACATTATTTTCTGGCACTGTTCTTCACACATCTTATGCTAAAATTTAAGAAATCCCTACTCACTCTGTAATTTACATCTTCTTTGTTTTTACTGACATCCTTCCTTCCACTTATAATTCTCATGCATTGCATGCATTCTACGTGTCTAAACTACACATGTCCTTTAAAGCCTAACTCAGAAGCCACCATGTGCAAAAACCTTTCACTGATTGCTCCAGGACCACATGATGCATCTGTATTCTCTTGGTTTCTTCACCCCTTACTTCCACACTCAAATCCAATTTGGAAAAAACAGGATCACGTCATCCAGGTTATATGATACAGAGTGCCTAGCATATTCTGAGGAACACAATAGGAGATAAGTAATTGGTAAAAAACAGAAAGGAATTCACAATTGTTTTTTAAAAATTCAATTGCTTCAGTCTTCCTAGTCATCTGAATGCCTATAAAATGGAGCAGGGGTGCACATATATCGCTGTGATAACAATAGAATTAATTTAACAATGGAGCAGGGGAAAACTGAAAAATGATTCATTATTGTATGCACAGTATACATAGTTTAATGACTTCTTCCCGGCTAGTTGCTAGCCTCCCCGAATTGATTATGAAATAGACTTCCCTATCTATCACCATCAACTCACTGGTTAACCTTGTTGTAAAATTACCTTTTATAGATGAAAGTATTTTGTTAAACAAGATCATCTTTAAGATATATTTTTGAGTTAATAAAAAAATCAATAACTGTACTTCACTTTTCTCTAGAATGCCGTTAAGCCTATAAAACAATGTATTTAAAAGTTAAATATGAGTGAATCCTAACCCATAATTGAACATACCAAAATCTTTGATTTTTTTGTGTGTGCTGCAAGACTAATAGACTTGCATTAGTTTTGAAATATCTGAAGTAAGTGGTTCATTAATTTTTCACCTTTACCTTAATGGAGATTTGACTAACAGTTCCCGTCTGAGAGCAGATACTAAAAGCCGGATGTTCCAGGGCACTAAGATTAAATTATAGACAACAGTTTTTTTTAAAAAAACCATCTATTAAAAAGGAGCTGGGAGAAGAATTTCATTTTCTTACATTATTAAAAGGCATTGAATAGAAAAAAAATGTGTACCATTTTTATTCAGTTATATTTTAAAGGATGTATAAGAATTATAAGAATCTATCAGATATGAAAATTTGGTGAATTGTGTGCCTCGATGCAAAGGATGCCATATAGAAAACCAGTGACATTACATTTTAGCATTCTAACATTTATGCTACAGCATGGATATGATGTCTTGTATATTGTTTATGCTCAATAATAGACAATTTCTATTTAGTAGATAATTAGATCTTTACTTTCTGCACTTTTTATAATTTAATGATCAAAATAGATCCATTCCACCAATAATTCAATCCTTGTTAAAATGCTACACATATAGTATAATGAGGATTTGAACATACAGAACCTAAGTCTGCCTTTTCCATTAGCATACACTTTGGAATGTAACAAAGAATCTCACTCTGATAATATTGTCATTCCATGACTACTGTTCCAGAATTACCAGAGAGACCAGAAGGGCCTTGAGCAGGCTGACGTACTGAGAATAAATACAGTATATCCGCTCCGAAACATACAACATATCAAAGTGGTAAGCATTTAGAAGAAATGAAGTAAAAAGATAACTTTCTAACTGTAGGTATTTAACAAACTTTGCATTATATTCTTCAAACTACTGATACTTACTTCAGTTACATCTGCTCATGGTTGTAAAGAAAAAAATGAGTGCCTGGGCCAGGGATTTAGCTCAATGGCACCACAGCTGCCTCACAATCTCAAGATCCTGAGTTCGATTCCCAGTACTGAGAAATAAAAAAAAGTGAGCGCCACATGTATGTGTGTGTGTGTGTGTGTGTGTGTGTGTGAGTGTGTAAGGCTGATATCCTTGCAACTCAAGTACAGTAAGTAGAAGTACACATTCCATGGTACACCTTGGGCAAAGAACAATCACATGACGGAAATGTAGGATTGCAGGTCTTGCTCGGCCTGAATCTGAATCTATACTCTAATAAGATCCCCAGGTGATTTATATGCACAGTAGACAAGCAGTGGTCTATGTCAGTGTACATTTTTCTAGAGCAAAATTTACATAATTTTCATAGCAACAAAATATTTTTAAAAAATAGGACTAAAGGAAGAGAACCTGTGTTTGTGATCTGTTACTGAAAATTAAAGATGGCAGAACTTTTAACTACATCTAAACACCCCAAATCAGCAGTGCTTTCAACCTTTTCCAAAGGGGTAAAAAGATCTTTTCATAAGCTAAAGTGAAGTAACTAGTTTAAAATGGGCAAGAAGCATTTTGTTTTTGTCCTTTCT